ATGTAGGTTTTTACAGATTTATAGCATCTCTTTACCTACCTAACCTTTGAACAGTGGAATTAAGCTCTCAATCAATATATGTTAATTTTTACCACCACAACTACCACTACTGCTACTGGTATGATAATACTACTAACTCTTCATTATATTTGTCCCATATTTCTCATCTGTCTACTGCTTTCTTACTTTCCAAAATACCTACATAAGCTGTAAGTCACATTTGTTGATCTTTAATGATTTTCTCTGTCATATCAAAAGTTCAAAGAATTTAAGTCTTCTTCCAGAGGTTTGATAAATAAATTTATGTTAGCCTTTATATTGACTTTAAAAACCTTAACTCTTGAATACATCTGGTACTTTTTGTAAGATTAAAAGTCCTAAATTTGTTTCAATCTACCATGTTATTTGATCATCTTTACCATCTCTGTTATGTTTCATCTGTAAGATACTTTTACTTTTATGTATAATAACCTTTATTTTATTAATATCTATTCTGTTTCACTTATAAAAATGAGTCAATTTTGTGCCACTTTAAAGTGATTTGTGTAGTGTGCCTTTATATTTCTTTTAATGTCTGGTAGGGTAGTCCTCCATTATGAGAATTTTCTGTCTTTCATGGCCACATCTTCGAACCCTCTAAAGCAGCGGTTCTCAACCTGTGGGTCGCGACCCCTTTGGGGTTCGAATGACCCTTTTACAGGGGTCGCCTAAGACCATCGGAAAACACATATATAATTACATACTGTTTTTGAGATTAATCACTATGCTTTAATTATGTTCAATTTGTAACAATGAAAATCCACACTGCATATCACATATTTACATTATGATTCATAACAGGAGCAAAATTACAGTTATGAAGTAGCAACGAAAATAATTTTATGGTTGGGGTCACCACGACATGAGGAACTGTATTAAAGGGTCGCAGCATTAGGAAGGTTGAGAACCACTGCTGTAAAGGCATTCATTCAGCCAGATAGCTTTTTGCCAAAGTGAAAATAATTTGATATTCAGGAGGTTACAAGTTTATAATTTGGAAATATCATTCATAAGTTAGATTAACTAGCACATATAAGGGATTAACTTTAAAAAGATCTTGAGCAATCTCGGTATTCACTGCTACAAATAGGAATCATAAGAATGGGTGAGGGAGTCCTGGCACTAACTTAGATTAAGGGAAGTTATTCATCGTTAATTTGCTCATCAGCTCCTTGATGTGTACAAGTTCAGGCTTTAGAATTTTCTCTCTAGTTGCCCATACAGCTCAATGACACCTGATTTCTAAATCTCTGATGTTGTTTTACCAGTTTAGAATCCTGTGGCCTACAGCAGTGAGGGCGATGGAACAACTGGTCTCACAAACTTAGAAGCTGTTTCCTGACTCATGCTGAAATTCCTGAAGGCCTGCTCTATCTCTGATGGGCTTGACTTTTAAGGCCCAGGACTATAACTAAATCATTACTGTGGGATGCATGCAACAATAGAGTGATGCAGACCAAAAAGGTTCAGCGAGGGCCCCAAGGAAAGATGAATGGGTTGAGAACTGTGGAGAGAGCAAGGCTTGCTTGGCTCTCTTTGTTAAGGGCTTTTGGAGAAGAATTAGTAGCTCCTCTTACGCTCCTTAGCGCCACCACGTTCCATGCCGTAACAATCACACCACATTCGATGACAGTACGGATGAATGAATGAATAGACAGTGAATTTGTAAAATCTGGGAGGCTGCATTTTACCTCTGAAATTAGAAAAATCAGAAGGAAATTGATATTTTATTAAGAACTTTAGTTGTAGCTACCATAATGGAAAGACCTATGACCCCCCAAATCTATTTCCCTTCAGCAAAGAGGGGTCATGTTTTCAAACAAGAAAACTTGATAGTCCCTCCCTAAACATCGTATGATTTAAGATAAACATTGTATGACTTAAGATTCTCAAACTTTATTTTCCTAGGAATATGGAATGTACTGTAATCCACTTTTAATTGTGAGCAACTCTGAAACTGGAAAGCTGTGGAAAGATGAGGAGTTAGGATAAGCACACTCCAGCCTAGATCCACTTGGGTCATACCACAGGAAATAGGAAGATCACATTAACTCTCTCTAAGAATACAACAAATACTGCTTTTTCCTTTTGATGAAATGCCTGTTTCTGGCTCATTTCTACATATAGAACAAAGACATTAGTAAATCATGATTCTGAATTTGAAATATCAATTTTCAACCTAACTTATCTCACTTAGCTCAACCTTACTTTGCTGTCTTTCTCTGCCCAGCCACACCTTCTTCGATTTAAACAAAGCCTGTTTTTAGTTGTAAAAGTCTAAGTTCCTTTGTAAAACCCAATCAGGTAAAGTGCTAATTCTCTCAGTATGGTCTGTGGTCTTTCTACACCAGCATAATCTAGTGGGTTTGTTAAAAATAGACCTCTGGACCCCAACTCAAAATGTCAGAATCAAAGTTCTTGGGGATGTAGATGAAGAAACTGTCTTTTAAATAAGATTCCTGGCTAATTTTGCTAAGGCTAAAAATAGAGAATAAATAAGACATGTTTGAAGAGAACAATTATTACGACAAAAGCAATTTTATGTAGATGAAAAGAAAGCAGCTACTAGGAGAATGGGATACAGTTGTCTTATTTTCAGGAAAACTATCCCAGAGTCCTAATCTGAATAGTTAATCCTGGAAAGATTCCCTAAATCTTCATACTTCTTATGTAACTACTAGAGGCCCAGCACACGAAATAGTGTGTGAATGAATAGTTTGCTGCTGCTTGCTGCTGCTCGCCACCCTGCCCACCACACCCTCATGGGCTGGGAGGGGGAGGGACCAAAAGGTGGTCAATGCACCTCATGGCGACTGGTCGAGGGGTCATTCTGGTCGGTACGCTTATGGTCCCTGGCCTTTCATTATAAAGGAAAGCAAAGAGGCGTCCTGGCTGGTGTGGCTCAGTTGGTTGGGCGTCATCCCACGCCCTGACTGGGCACATGCCCAGGTTGCAGGCTCAATCCACGGTAGGAAGCATGCAGGACGCAGTTGAT